TGTAACAAGGAGTCTTGCCCACTCGCGTTTCCCCAGCAAAAACCAGGTCAAGAAGCATATGAGGCTTGCTCACCAGCCTCATGTGTCCTGCACGATTTTTGGAACAAAAGAGATTGTTATCCTCGACAGGCAAGACAACCATCACTTCAACTGCCCCACTAGAGGTTGCCAGGTATCAACAGACGATCCAGTGAAAATTCAAAGACATGTGAAGAATTGTGATCAGGCGGAATTCGATCGGCCAAGGGTCATGCAGTTGCCCCCCAGGGACTTTGTGACTCTGGTTCAGCCAGGAGACCAGCTTGTTGGTGAGTTATGTCTTTGCTTTATCATTTGGCAGGTAGGTTTGGGTCAGCTCATCATAGTTTATTCAGTGGTACCTGAGCACCCCAGGCTGGCTTACAACAAATACGCCGACATTATAATCTGTACAACCTGCCATACTGGCCTGGACACCCCAGAGGTTCAAGCTCACATGCTCAATGCTCACAAAGAGAAGGTCAGACAGGAAGACATAATACTTAACTTCTATTCTCATGGCTTCTCCCTCCCTGCAACTGCGCCGAAATATCCGGTCTCTCGAAGTGGTCGTCTAGACACTTGCCAACCTGTGCAAGGACTCTTTATGTACTTGGGATTTATTTGTACTGCTGATAAGCATGGGGAACAATGTGGCCATACTGTTCGAAAAGAGGACTCGATTAAAAATCACTTTCGTCTGGAACATACTGGTTAGTCACTGCCAGATTCTTATGTTTTGCTTATAGACACTGGGTTGAATAATTGGCTTTGTTTTGCTTTTCTTTCTAGACTCTAATGGGCATTGGAAGGACAACTGTAAAAGAAGTTACGTACAACACTTGGTTCACAAAAAGAGGTACTTTTGCGTGGATCGTGTTCCAGCTGCGCCGCCCGTGATAAGTGGGATACTGGAAGGAGTCGAATCGATGCCTCAAACTGGGGATACTCCTCTGACGGAGAGATGGGAGCAACTCAAAGATGCGCTTTCAAATCTGGACGTTTTTTTGGTTCCAGAGGCCAATGCCAATACGGATGTCCACACTTCCTTGGTCAGCAATTTTCTGGAGAGCTCAGGGATTCACAAACACATAGGCGCCTGTTTGTCATCCGTTGGTTGCACCCCTGTTCAGCTCTATGACCTAGTCAACTACCCGGATGAGATGGACGACTGGATCAAATACGTGGAGGTGTGGATGTTGACAAGAATGAATTCCTTGAAAGAGGCTCATTATGGACTTAGAAAAGAAGGATTGAAAGAATCCACGTGAGTTTGTTGGGTTTATTCTATTCTTGGGCAATTTTGTTTGTCTTGATTTGGGGCTTCTGCTGATGTCTATTATTTGTCTTATCCCCAGGGAGAAGGAAGCGCCCACAGTTGGACTGTCTCCCTTGCAGGAGAAACAGACTAGGAGCAGATACGCAAGGACGATTGCCAAGTTGCTGCTGTTCACTTGGAAGACGTTTGATACTCCACTGGCGGCTTTCTGGTCTAGACGTCAACTACGACTGAAAACTACTTTGGCGAGCCTCTCTAGATGTGTCGGAAATACGTTGTCCTCTCAAGAAACGATCAACCAGTTGCTAGATTTGGCTATGTTTCAGTATGTTGGCTTTTCTTGCTCTCTGGCGAAACTCTCGAGGGTCCAATCGGCTGTGGAGCAATTCATAGCACTCTCTATGATCCAAGAAGATGGATCCTTCTTTGCGCCCCTTGAATTGACTCATAACATTGCAGCGGTGCAATATGGAATTCGACTAGGCCTGACTTTCCACTGGGTGGCTCTAGCGTCGGAGATGGATGATGATGAATTGGAAGAAGATGAAGAACAAGACCTGAGCAATGATGCAGAGATGGCGAAAATGCGGCAACACTTCTCTTGGATTTCGCAAGACTCTCGAGCTTCACCTTTTATGACTCTCAGGGACTGGATGAGACTGGGCTCGACCTTTATCATGAATGAGCAAGTGCCTGACGAGACTCACTGGGTGGACTCTGAAATGACCCGTCTGATGATTGGCCCTTCGACAATTACGATTAATGGGGTCCAAACAAGTCTCCGGGCGGTGATCACTTCTCTTCGAACGGAGTTCCAAAACGTACTCAAAGGGGTCACTCTGCCCGATTTCTTGGCGACTGAACTTGTGGATGATTCTCGAAATACTAGCCTTCATTACAACTACCTAGTGCCATCGACCAATGAACAGCTGTATCGACTGAAAGTGCTCAAGGATTGGACTCTGAATGGTAATCCTCAAAAAGTCCTTGCTCCCAACTGGGAGGAGGTTATCCAAGTTCCAAATCCAAATCTTAAGCGGTTATGGGCACCTGGACCTGCGTGGAGATGGCTCGAAAGAACAGATATCTTGCTTGAATACATCTACTTCATGTACCATGTTGGTTGTGGGCAACCTGCTAGGGGAACTGAGGAGACTTGTATGCTCATTCGGAATACGGAGTCTGCGCCGAGGAACGTTTACTGGCGAGGGAATCGAATGATGTTACAGACATGGTATCACAAAGGGCAAAACATCACTCACCGATCGAAACCGAGGCAGGTCTATTTGACTGGGGAGCTTTCAATGCAGCTCCATAACTACTTGGCTTACATTAGACCTGTACAATTGTAAGTTCTGTTGGCAGACCTTTTGTGATGATAGGTTGGAACTGATAAAAGCCTTGTTTGAACAGGGCTATTCTGTCTGGCCTTGGTAGGGTAGATACTGCCAAAGATATGCAAGATTATCTTTGGGTCAGCTCTAGGAAGGGACGGTTGGAAACAAACGACTTTACTCGGATCTTGAAGAAGTTCTTCCCCCTTGGAGGAAATGATGCTCTGGGGATGCGGTCTTGGCGACAAGCGTCTGTTGCAATTGCATCAGCCCACC